CCCGTCCCACCACTGGGCACTCACCGGTCTGCTCATGGCCGCCCTCTTCACCGGGAAGGTCCTGGTGGCCAACCGGGAGCAGGACGAGCTGGACACGGAGCGGGAGCTGTGCCGGGCGCTGGAGAACAAGGTGCTGCTGCTCTACTTCGGCTCCGGGCAGTGCCCGCGCTGCCGCCGGTTCGCTCCGCTCCTCAAGGACTTCTTCCTGCGGCTCACGGACGAATTCTACGTGGAGCGAGCCTCGCAGCTGGTCCTGGTGTACGTGTCCCGGGATGAGACGGAGGAGCAGCAGAGCGCGTTCCTCCGGAGCATGCCGAAGCGCTGGCTGGCCGTCCCGTTTGGGGATGCCTTCGGAAGGTACGTGCCGCAGGTGAAGCAGCCAGGCAGAGCCCGCAGCCCCCACGCAGCCCCCTCCGGCTGCATTTCCAGCTATTCCAACGCTTTTCCAGATGTTTTCCCTTAGATTCGGTCCCCACGGGAGCGGGGGGTGTAGATGGAAAGAAACGTAAAGCTCTTTGGTTGCACCTATTTCTAAAGCAAAACTGTTTCCTCTTCTTTCCCCCTCGCTTTTTGCTGGTATCTTTAGAACTCCGGGTTTACAGCACACTATTTATAACTCCTCAAGAGGCCCCAGCGGGGAGGACGCGTGGCGGGGAGGATGGATGCAGCCAGGAGGGCTGGAAGCATGTTTCCTGTAACCCCATTAGCGACAAGGACAAGTGGGAATTATTCCCGGCTCCCTTTGAGGGCAAACAGAAGGATGTTAACATTTAAGTGTCTTGGGGCTGTTTAGTTGCTGCTCATTTAAATCAGGTCCCTGCAGCCATCCCATATCCCCAGGAGCTGGTGCCCAGATCCCCTCATCCCCTTATCCCAGCCCCACAGAGCCCCCCATTAGGCTCCAGTTACCAGGGATGGACAGACGAGTGGGTGACAGTCAGCAAAGAGGCTCCATGTAGCCTGGATGACCATGGGAATCCCATTGGATGGTGAGGATGAGGAGCAGCAAGGACGAGGAGCAGCAATCCGGTCCCGTTCCCGATGTGATGTTTCTTCCCCCTTTGCCTTGTAGGGAGCTGGAGCTGCGCTTCGCTGTATCCGAGGTGCCAGCGGTGGTGGTGCTGAAGCCAAACGGGGAGGTGATCGTTGGGAATGCCGTGGAGGAGATCCGGAGCATGGGCCCCGCTTGCTTCCAGAACTGGCAGGAGGCGGCCGAGCTGGTGGACAGGAATTTTCTCTTGGCAAAGGATTTTGATAACTGGAGCAGGAGAAGCATCACCGACCCCATCCGCCGCCTCAAGTACAAGCTGGACAAGAAGATGGAGGCAAAGAGCAAGGAGAGGAAAGAGGAAGGTGAAGACTTGGCTTAGGGGCTCAAAGAAGCCACGGCCGCGAGGGCTGATGCCCTTACTCAGCATCTCCAGAACAGCAACGTCTGTATCCTCCTAGGACCTGGTGGAGTGAAAATCTCACGCCGAGATCTTTGTCATTTATCTACCAAAAGAGTGAGCAGAAAAGTAACTGCTAAAGACCAGAATTCAGCGACTCACTCACTAAACAGTTCAAAATGGGAATTCGTAGAATCATGGGATGGTTTGTGTTGAAGGGACCTGAAAACTCCTCCAGCTCCAACCCCTGCCCCGGGCAGGGACACCTCACACTAGAGCAGGTTGCTCCAAGCCCCTGTGTCCAACCTGGCCTTGAGCACTGCCAGGGATGGGGCATCCAAACCTTCTCCATTCAACCCATCCCAGTGTCTCAGCACCCTCATGGGCAGAATTCTGCCTCAGAGCTCATCTCAGTCTCCCCTCTGGCAGGTTCAAGCCATTGCCCTTGTCCTGTCCCTCCATCCCTTGTCCCAAGCCCCTCTCCAGGTTTCCTGGAGCCCCTTTAGGCCCTGGAGCTGCTCTAAGGTGTCCCCTTCAGGAGCCTTCTCTTCTCCAGCTGCCCCAGCCCGGCTCTCCCAGCCTGGCTCCAGAGCAGAGCTGCTAAAGGCAGACAGAGCTGTGCAGGGCCGGCTTGTTCAACTTGTTTTCTCACTTAATCCTCCCTCTCTTCACCCAGCAAGTTTAACAGGGATGAAATCCTCTAAGCCAGATGCTTGGAAGGGACTTGGCTTTAGGCAGAACAAGACGGGCACATCCTTCGGGATGCTCTCTGGTGCAGGGATGCTGGGGGGAAAGGCACAAAGAAACCCAGAAGTGCTTTCAGGTGAGAGACCTGCTGGAGGAGGGAAGCTGAAGGGGGCTACAAGGATGCTGGGGAGGGACCTTCAGCAGGGACTGGAGCGATAGGACAAGCGGTGATGGGTTTAAAGGCAGGGAAGTTCAGGTTGGAGATAAGGCAGAAGCTCTTCCCTGTGAGGGGGCTGAGGTGCTGGCCCAGGGGGCCCAGAGA